GTATCAGCCTTGAACACACTGAAACCACACCTCGGAAATTATGGTAAAAATTTTATTCGGCTACCTGAACTTGATAATAAAATTCTCCCTTCTTCTTTGCAGGTCCCAGAGTTTGAGTTGAAATCCCTGCCGAACATTGATAAATGAACCGAGCCCGAGCTTGATTTATGGCGTTTATATAACAAGCCGAGTGGGCTCGTCTTGGCTTGTTTACATCCCTATTAGGGCACTAAGCAAAAGATCACGTCCGCCTACACGCCCATATCAATGTCTCAGAGGACACGACAAATAACATAATACCTGGGGACAACTGACAAGAATGTTTTTGTGAAACCAATAAATCTTGTACTGTCAATTAATGTCAAAATACCAAGAGACGACTGATAAGACTAAATAGATGTGTTTGTGAAACACGTAAATCTTGTACTGCCAGCCCTCGGAAAAAGCTTAATACATTTTTGCAAAATATTCCAATAGCACACACAACTTGCTATCTATAATAATGTTCACGACACCATTAATGAAAATAAATAAAGATTGTTTCCAAGGATGTCAACAGCACACAACCCACACAGACTACAAAATGCCAACACAAAACAAATTAACCCTTCAAATGACAATGAAAAAAGCATACGAAGATTGTTCCCAGGTTTTTCGCTCAAACATCGATTGAATAGTCATGAAAAACTCATCGCGTATCTCTCTCTCTATTGGTTTCTCCAATAGGGTGAGCTTGGATGTGGCGGATAATTGAAAGCAAACCGAAAGTCACGCCAAGGATGACAAATGTTTTTCGGGCAGCACGGACATCCACGATCTGTACCAAAACAAAATTTGCCAACTAATTAAATCATCCACAACATATAGAAGAGTTAAATACAATGGGCCTACAAAACTGGTATTTAATCATCGACCAATGATGATAATTTAAAGAAACATTTCTTACCTATTTCGACCTTCACCTTCTGCATCCAAGTGGCCTCAGCGGGTGAGAATGTAGCAAGCACATACTTATCATCACTGCCATCCTCTAAATAGAGTTCGGCGAAGAAAAGGAGCACTTCTTCTTCCTTGGGGCCCACCCTTGCCTCAAAGTTCAAATGCACCCAATGTGTTCTCTTTTCAGTGAAGTCCATCATTAGACCTGTGCTCGTAAAACCATTGCCTTCAACAGCCCTTTCAAACTTCAAGCTTATTTCCTCGGTCTTTTGTTTTTCAATAAAATAAAACAAAAGGATAGATTAGGAAAGGACCAGAGGTAAAAAGAAGAAAAGAATAGAAAAAAGGTTAGAGATGAATACTTGTTTCGCAATATAATCCTGTAAAGCGAATTCAGCCAATTTAGCAGCAGTCTCTGAAGACAGTAACTTAGGATTGCTATCCACTCTGAATTGTGAAAAATCAAATTTAGTTATTACTTGCTCATTTTTCAATAGCCAAAAACAAAAAATATATATTAGAGGACAGAGAGAAGAGATTACGTAGCGTCAAAACCAGCACGAAATCCACGACGCGGGTGATTTACGTAAGAAAGACAACGCTGACAACCATACTCTGTATCAATCCATGAAAATTAAAAATTCTGATAGTAATAACAATACAACAAATTTTTTCAAACATAGTGAGTGAGCCTTTTCCTTGCCTCACACAAATTAGAAAGGATCACAGAACTAAGCGATTACATTTAATAATAAACAGAAAAGGCTCACAGAACTAAGCGATTACATTTAATAATGAACATATACCAATAAACAGGATATTACTTGAGAAATTGTAATTTTTTTAGATATGCAATTAAGTACAAAGATGTCTCTCTATCAGAGATTACTACCAAAAATCAAGTCAGAAAGAGAAAGAGCTACATCAGGCACGCACAGGATAATTGAATGAAAAAAGAAAGCAATAGGCCAATGAGAGAAACCGCCAAACATAGCATTTAAAAAAAAAAATAGATAAATTATTGTGCGTTGAGCAAACAATCATTGAAAAGAAAAACAAAAGTTAGTTCAAAAAGATTGGAAAAGCCGAATACCTCCATCTGTAGGTCCCACAAGTGATAATGTACTGAGCTCCCACCCTTTTCTACCTGAATATACTTCGGCAAACAAAAGAAGTGGTTCGTCATTGGGACCAGCATCCGGCCGCCGGGCCTCAAAGTTGAAATGCCTCCAATGATGGTGCCTCTCCACAAAGCCCTTTCCAAAACCAGATCCCCTCATATCACTTATTTTCCCGTCCAAAAACCTCACAAACTCCAAACCAGTTCCCTGATAGAAATTCCGAGTTATACATACAATACAAAGCAGTGCTATATATTACCAAAAAAATTATATGAATAAGATAGAACATCAACATGTTTGTTGTTGTAGTGTTGTAATGCAGATTGGGCTACGTTCTCGTTCCTATATTTTATCACATTAGGGTCATTCGGGACTAAACGTGCTGCTGCTCTCTGGCGCCTTTCCAATATCTCTCTGTAAGTAATCGGCTTGCGCTTACTACAGGAAACAAAAGATCAAGTCATTTATTTTAATATACACTTCTGCAGAGGACAACAACTGGTTAGAGCCAATTCTTATAAGATGTTAATACATGAAGGAAGACTACCTCAAACCAGATTAGACGAAACGAGTAAAATCCACAAAATTTATTAAAAAAGAAAAGTAAGAAAACAAGATATAATTGTCACTCACAGCCCTTTTATTTCCAGTCTCCGACTTCTGCGCAATGGGACTTCTGTTCCCTGTGAATATTTAAGACATACAGAGAATTGAATTAAATTATGAACAACCATCAAAAAGGAAAAGAAGATGACAAGAAAGATGTGCAAAATTCCGCTACCACCTCTGGTTTCATGTCCGTCATTTTTCTGGAAATTTCAGTCTCTTCCTGAACTTTTTTAGGCTTTCCGTCCTCCCTGCAACAAGTATAAAAATGAAAATATTCAAGGGGTAACCATCAGGCAATAATACATGCCAACAGGACAAGAAAGGCAAAACAAAAAAAAAAAAAAAAAAAAAAAAAAAAAAAAAAAAGAGGAGAAATGGAAGAAAAGTAGAGTAATACAAGCTAAGAAACGCAAAGAAGGACAAAAATTGAATTATTTACGAGCTACCAAAAATACAAGCTAAGAACACGAAAACGGCAAAAATGGAGGAAAGTGTAATAACATAATTGGACTTCCGAAATTACTTGTAAACAAGATTCATCAGCTAACAGCATTAAAGAGACCATTAATCACAAGTTAAAGAACAAAAACATACTGAATCCAGCCAATGTAACCTAACCCTAAAAATTTAGGGCAGATAGATTATCCAAATCGTAATAAAAATTTTGAAGAAGATTAAGGACAACGATGTAGGAGCAAATCCTTAACGCGCACAAAAACAAAACATAACTGAAAAAAACCTGAATTTTCGATCGAAATAAGAAATTGTCTCGTGGCTCGTCTGTGAAAATCAAATGTCCACCATTTTTGACTGATCACTCACTACCTACCGGCGATCACACTTATAAATAAAAGGCTAGGCTTTGGGCCAGGTGAACAAACATATAAGTTTAGGCTTTGGGCCAGGTGAATAGATGATCCACAATTTTTGGGCCACCAGTCATCATTAATATTTTTTGGCTTTTTGGAGTAAGCTTTTGTAAAAGCGAATTTTTTTCCTCGATATCCGTGAATTTGAATTCGAATACGAATAAACTTGTAAAGCCATTTAAGGTATGATTGTTTATAGTTTTAACTAGTTTTTATTTTGTTTGTATTTTTAACTGTAGTTAGTTTTAAAAAAAATGTAGTATGGTTAGTTGTCAGTGGATATAATAAAAAATTATTTAAATAAAATAATTAAAATTGATTTGATGTAAAGTATGATAAAAATGATTTGAAGTGATAGTTAGTTAAAATTATGTGAGTGTGTGAATAGTCAATTAAAGTTGATGTGATGTGTAAGAATGATTGTTTGATGTTATATAATTACACTGATAATATTCGAGATAGTGGAGTTTGGTTAAAGTTGAATTAAATTTGAATTTTGATTGTTTTTTTACTGTTGAAATCCCAATTGCCCCCTTAACATTGCTCTTATCTCTACCTGATGAAATCAGTGTAGATGGTTTATTTTATCGAAACTGGCCAAAAAAATCAACTTTTTAATCCTGATGAAGTAATTTTTCATTTTTGGTTTTTTCGTACTTTGTCTTGGAAAGTCTACTTATATAAGAACTATAGGACGACTTGTTTATAGGTTTTCAAAACAGCAGTCTAGTTGGACATGCTTGGTCCTATCTTTTCAACTAATGATGTGATGAACGATGATATACAACTCAAATAACTGAACAATTGTGTTTGCGAATGTTTCTCGTATAGATGGGATTGATTAGGTCAGGGTTGTTAATCTTTAGCTATGAGTGTGTAAGTGTTGAAAAAAAGGTGCACTTCAGTCTAGTGCGCTTTTGATTCCAGTTCGTCTATCCCCTTAAAATGATTTGTGTGTGTTTATCACTCTAATCAAGCTTTTTAACCTGATAATGTTATAGATTAACTTGTTTAGTTAGATAGTTATGTGTCTTGCTTGTATTGCAGCTTCTGAAAATTATGAGTCGTGAATCCAAGATATCTATTTATGTTATACGATGCTTGCAATGCATATTTTTTTCTGAACATTTTGTATTAGGCATGCCAAATCACAAGTATTCTGTTCATAGTTTTTGTTTCTCTCTGCTGTAGTTGCGAGCTTTATCTTTCTCTTTAACTGGTAAGATTTCTAGAGTAAGCATTATTCAAAGAACACATAGTTCACAGTATTGCAATTTGAATCTTTATGTTTGTTTATTTCCTTTTTATGTGGTCTTTTTGTATTCACGCTTCAACTTACCGTAAACCAATAGTGATACGACCACGAGTTCACCACCATTTTTCGTGATCAATTGATGCAAAAAAGTTTTATTTTACTTAAAGATGTGCTCGATTTGATGTCTATATTGATAATTCATTCACTTGCTATGTCCAACAATCCTATTTACTAGGTGCTACAAACAAGGGGAGTTTTTAATGTTTTTGCCGACTTTGGTTTTGGTCACAGGCATCTTTGAAGACAGAGAAGCAGAAAAAAAAAAAGGAAATCACAGCTTTTGCTGGAAGCAGTTGTCAAACTCTTCTACATTCAAAATTTGAAAGATATTGATTGCCTTTATAATTGGGTTTTTAAATCTTCCGGTTGGTTAATTTGTGCTGTGTAGACTTGTCGTTTTGGTACTTTGATACATTGTTGCTCTATCATGTGCATTTTGCTGAAGCCCATTGTTGTGGCTTTCATTATTTTTCTGCATTTTTTTTTGTGTTCAGTTCGGAGCTTCTTTACTATATAAATCCTCGTTGAGCCTTCTATTGCCATTTCTGATAGAACTTGAGATACTTCATTATACACACTTTGTAATTTGACTTTAATCAAGAAGTGCCTATTATGTCCTGAATTCTTTTACATAGTCTTCTTTTTGTTTATTTTGAGTATTAAAGGATCTAAGAATGCTCTTCTGTTCTGTGTGTTCATTGATAGATTTCCCAAACCAAGTCATTAGATTCCCTTTATTCATCAAAAAAATAATGACCCAATAAAAATGCTACTCACAATCAATAGGTTTATACTTGAAATCACTTATATATACTCAAAATTACTTGGTCCATTAACCCTCATTTGCAACTGTAGGATCCAGCCGATGTTCGAGAAGCACAAACAAGATAAAAGATTATTAAGATGAAATTACATGATCCATTCCGTTGACAAGTTCCTTTGGGAAAAGAGTATGAAAAACTCGGCTGAGTATGAATTTTGATCAACTCATTACAATGAATTCTATATATTTTTAAACGTTCGTCTTGTTAAACACAGTTGAATCATGCTTCGCATCTTCAAAAAAATCTTGAATCTCGCTTTCTTTTTATCTATATGATGCAACTATGTTCTTCAGACATATCACTTGTTGACACCTCTATATGTTTTAACATATGCCCGCACTCGTTCTTGTATGGATTATATATTCAACAAGTTAGTGTGTGTAGTGATTATGTAGTTTATGTCTTTTTGGGAGAACTTTTGTTCAGGGGTTGATCTTTCTTACTTTCAAAATCTTTAGGGTTAACCCTAATCCCCCATTTTCTAACTTCTCTCATTGTGTTTTTTCCATGTAATAAGGAAAAACAAACTCATGTATTACTTATGACATTTAGCTACATATCCGCCTTAAACTACAAATTTCCGCCTACCTTAAACTACATAAATTTACAAACATAAAAAAATGACATTTATATATATATCGGTTTTTTGGTACGAAGCTAACAGTTGACTCCATAGTGAAGTCAATCTTCTATATACAAGTAAATCTACCATATTATTTGATTACTTAAATAACAATAATATATTTTTATTAATATGGTAGGTTTATTTGTAGAATATAGAAGGTTGAATCCACTTAGAACCAACTTTTGGTTTTAAAGCAAAACCGTTATATATATACACTAGAATACATGATTCGGGTAAGTTATTAGAGCAAAACCGTTATATATATACACTAGAATACATGATTCGGGTAAATTATTAATCATGTGAAAGTTATTCACAGGTTGTTATTGTTGGAAATATTATTATTGTAAAGGCGAATTAAGAACGAGTTCAACACATATACGTATTAAGAATTTGAAATAGAAACCACAAACATTCAACCACAGGAACGTGAGATGAAACAAGATTTCTATTAGTAAATAAATAACTTTATTATAAAATTAAATAACTTAACTGACAGTTCTATATTGTTATAGAACACATATAGCCGAATCACAGAAACATTCTGTTTGCCTTGAAGAAACAGACGCCCCGATACTGTGCAACGAGTACTACGCC